TTGAAACCAATAGAAAAGGGATAAGTATACCTGACACGGATTCCACAAATGTAGCTCCCAAAGTGGTAGTTCACGCCCAAAGAGAGTACTAAGACCAACTTCCACTGAAGATGGTGCAGCTTGAATTGAAGCCAGTTCAACAACACAGTTTTCAGCAAAACTGTGATCCAACACCTTGGATCAAACAAGGGAGGTGAGCGTGAATTTTCTCTATATTCTTCTTGCAAAAATCAGAGAGGGAACTGATCAATATCAGTCCTAGAAGTGGAGGTCGAATTAGGATTTTTGGGGTGGCAAGAATAGAGAGAAAGAGCTGAAAGCAGTGTAATCTGAACCAGATTGATCTCTCCTTTCTTAATCCTTAAGAAGTACCACTCCTAATCGAATTAGGAGGTCTGTAATCCAAATCTTTATTTGGATTTGGACTCTTTAAGTGGATAAGACTTATCCTCTTATCCTAATGGCTGATCCAAACCCATATTCGCCCAAGTCACATGACTGCTTAAGCTGTCATGTGACCACTTGATTAATCTTATTAATCATGGGCTTTAGGCCCATTAAGCTAGTGGCTCACGTCCCTAGGTAGTTGCTGGCCCATTTTGTTCTCTTTGTCTGGCGTAGGACCCCAACAAGCCCTACATAAGCACATATGGGTTCGACCCAGCCTTTGTGAAATGGCCTAGCTAAATTTACTATTAAATACAGTGAACTCCTGAGTCCATTAGTATGGCCTCTTAATGGGACCAACATTTACATTAAATGATCCTTGAGTCCAGCCGTCCTATGAAGGCCTAAGGACAATGAGCTTAAGTAGGATATAGTCCATTAGGTAATCAGCCCCAAATGGTCTCTTACACTTAACCTCTCAGCCCATAATGATCAAACACTACCCAACAAGGAAGGACCCCTCCCCTGGCTGCAAGGTGCAATGTTGCTCTCTATGCTCGGATGGGTCCCGGGAATTAAAAACTTTTTGCAAACATTTTTCTTAAAACATAATATATATTATCATATAAATATATTTTGCAAAACAAATCTCAAACAAGTTTGAAATCGACTACCGACAGTTTTGGTTTCTATCAAAGAGAGTGCAATCCCGATCATTCACTTTGTCCGACAAAGGGGCTGATTCTGTCACTATGATCACCCACTCGAGTGATTTCTCAGGTTGCCCCAACATACCCAGGTTTTGACCCCCAAAGGATCTCACTGATTGGCATATCAAAGACAACCTAATCCGACACCTAGTGTAGTACTATAATCGAGTCTAGGGGTTATGTATAACTTTCCTGTTTTGCGCACTAGTCTCCAAGGTCCAGGGCATAAATGGAAATTGGTATGGTTTCAGCGTTTCAAACAAACATACACCGTATGTGCTTCGGATCCAACCCTGGCAGTTGAGACAAGTTGCCCCAACCTTCTTGGCAGCACATCAGTGTCAGCCTTGGTAGGATAAACTTACTCAGGTTTATTCAATGGCTGAGAACATTCTAAACTAACGAGTCTCATAAGTGTCCAGTTTAAGGGTAATTACACAGAAACACACCAATTATAACATGAAACAATTATGTAATTTTGTTCATTTACAATAAATAGATATCAATCTGATTTGAGCTAAGGGCATACACTGTCCAACATAGCATTTGGGTAATGGGTTGATCATGGGCCAATGGAGATGCAATTAGGCCTATAAGAGTGACAAGTTCATAAAAGAATTGTTGAATGGCAATTGGTGGCTGATCAGGTGTTGTAGGAACCAGGGAGTTGAATGGCAATTGGTCTTCATAAAATATCACATCTTGAGAGACAAATATTGATTTTGTCTTGAAGTTATAAAGACGATAGACCTTTTTCTTGTAAGGGTATCCAACAAATATCAATGAACAGAGTGAGGGGCCATTTTATCATGAACTTTACTTTGTACTTTGGCATAGGATAGCCATCCAAACACCTTAAAATGAGAACAAGTAGGTGGCTTACCATAGTGTTCATATGGAGAGTGACCTTGAAGTATTGGACAATTGATAAGGTATGTCGCTGTTAGAACAAATTCAGCCCAAAATTGCACTAGAAGGCCTGCTTGAAATCTCAGGGCTCGAGCCATCTCTAGAAGAAGTCTATGCTTGCGCTCTACTACCCCATTCTATTAGAGAGTAGCAATGCAAGACATCTACTACTTGATCAATTCCATAAGTATTATAAAATAAAGGCTAAAAGAGGTGCAATTGAAAATATTAAGTTATTATCAGACTTAATAGTCTGAACATGTACATTGAACTATGTTGCTATCCACTTATAAAACCAAATAGTATAAGAAAATATGGAGCACCTGAGTTTAATGGGGTTCATTAAGAGACCCATATATCACATTGCAATAAACAAAAAGTGGTAGGTGTAATGATATGCTTATTAGGAAAAGGAAGTCTAGCCAATTTGGTTCTATTACAGGCATCACAACAAACACTAGAACTAGGTTTTATTGCATTTAGATTAGAAATGATAGAAATGCGGCCAAATGAAGTATGATGTAGTAGTATAGGCCCCCTCTTCACTCATCCAAACCAATCAACTTCTTCGTTCGAAGGTTATAAAGGATACATAACAAGGGAAAGAAAATAGCAACACAACTCAGTTGTTCAGTAATCTCACTAATGGAGATGAAATTGCAAGTAAAATTGGATAAGCATAAGACATCATGTAATTCTAGATCAGGAGTAAGTGAATTACTGCCTTTTGAAGATACTAGCAAGATATCACTGTTCAATAACCGAATTGATTTTGAGATAGTGGACCTAGTTGTAGACTAAGTCATGAATGAATGAATAATAGAAATGTGGTTTGTAGCTCCACTATCTAAGATCAAGGATTATGAATTCAAATGAAAACAATATTTACCAGCAATATTGGTCGAAGCTGGTGGGGTAAGAAGATCCAATAGTTGTTTGTAGTGTTCCATTGTGAGTCCAATGACCAAAAAAGCATTGGCCTAAGTAGGTTTTGTGCCACTAGACTCAACTGCTACCATGGTGTTATTTATAGATCGTTTCCCAGACTAGTTGGGTGAGTATCTGATTAATTCAAATCAGCGATCCTTAGTGTGGCCATTGCATATGCAACGATCGCATTTGGCCTTTGATTTATTGCCATTCTTGGACAATGACTTGTTAATGGGGGTGCAACTTCCCACCCAATCCATTGAACCCACTCGTTACATAACCCATCCATTTACTTAACAGGTTGGAAATGGGTTGAATCACCCATTAGATTAATTTAAAAGGGTTGGTTTGGATCGGGTTGTGGATATTCATTGGGTTAACCACTAATGTTACAAGTGTGAATTCTTTAGCTATTTTTCTTTAATTTTCTTCATTCGAGTGAAACAATTTATAATTAATGTATTAATTTTCTAATTAATTATTGATTTAAATTAGTTCCAATTCAAGTCAACACAGTTTACCCAAGTCAACATTAAATCCAAGTTCAATGAAATGGCCCAATTAATTAATTCAATGGCCTAATTTGGTCCGATTTGATTCTGGTGCAAATGGCCCAACTATACTCAACCCAAATTAACCCAAACAACTTAGCAATCTAGACCAACCCGATTTGGGTCAACCAGATCGAACTCTAGATAAGATCGTTTGGGCATCCCAACTCAACCCGATTTGGTCAATTGAGCTTGACCCAGGACTGGATGGCATGCTCAACCCATCGAGATCCAGTTTGGGTCGGTCTGGTCCCAAATACGAACCCATGCCTGACCCAATCTGGATCGGTCTGACTCAAACTAACCCAATTCAAATCTGAATGGACATGATTGACTGGGTTGATCAGTCCAATCCAAACCCAAATGGTTCAAACCCGACCCAATTCTGGCCAGACCAATTTGACCTGAGCCTGGATGGCATGGTCGACCCTTCTTGATCCTATTTGGGTCAGCCTGCCCAGTCCCAAATATGAACCCATGCCCGACCCAACCTAGACTGGTCTGACCCAACCAACCCAATTCATTCCGGTTTGGGTCGACTAGTACGTTTGATGTAATTAACCCGAATATGAACCCAGTTAAATGGTTCAAGTTTGTTTGACCGATTTAAACTCAAGTAGTTCAACCAAACCCAAAACCCAAATATAATCGAATGGCTCTAAGTGAATAATTGTTTTCTATTCTCTATGTAAAAATAATATACATATACCATGATTTAAACCTTCATCACTTGTGTAAACAACAACTACTATTACCATTAAGCTATGACCAACTTATTTATTAAAAGGGAGTTGGTTTTTAGGTTGAGTATAAGATTAATAGATTGGACGAATTGGATTGGGTCAAAACGGGTTTAGATTGAATCAAACCCATTTAATTTTATTTAAATGAGTCATTAACGGATTAGTGGGATCAAATGGGTGGGCTCCATACTAAGGATTAAGGATGTATAAACGGATTGTGCTGAAATTCTCATTCAGACCAAGTAAAAATTGAGACTCGTTCTCTTTCTCATTCTACAATGAATGCTATTGCACCACAAACACACGCCGGAGTTGTTTGGTAAACACTCAACTCGTCCCACAGCGCTTACGAGAAGGTTTTCGTGCTTCAAGATTGCCAACTCACCACCATTGCCTTGAGAGAACCTTTTTTATAAAGCTTTCCAGATTTCTGCATCAGTTTCCACATGCACAACACTTTTCTCGAGATTCTTTTTGCCAAAGAATTGAATTTATGCGATTAATAGCTACAGAGGCTCAGTTTGGAAAGAGTATAAATACAAATGAATACAAAATACACGCATATGTATTTGTACTCCTTCGAAACTGAGCCAGAAGAACAGATATGCACTTAAAGAGATCTGAAAACACTTTGAAAAAAAGATGTTCTTGTTTCTTTTATGAAAAATCTCTTCTTAGAGGAAGGGAGAGTGCAACGGTCCTTTACCAGGTAAGATGAATGATTTAGAAATAAAATACCATATAAATTAAAATTTATAAAATAAATTACATGCTTGCAAGCGAAGACCTCAAATATATAAAAAATACATCCTAACCTAACGTTCCTCCAAAGAGAACCACGGGCCTATATCAACATACTACAAGGAAATGGCACAAGAAGATGTCCTCATGGAATTATCCTACTAGAAATAAGAAGGCTAAGGGTGAAATGAAGTTACTAATGAAGAATAACTGGAACTGGTAACAGTGTGAAGATAATCCAAAACCTACTACTAACACAAAATGCAGGGGTCAATCCTGAGAGCTAAAGCCACCAAAATCCTTATTTTGCCTCCCCAGTAAAGACCTTCTTGTTGGGTTCAAAGACATACTTGATCAGTGATTCCTTGATGTGTAGCAACTCAGGGAACTCCTTCTTCAACTTGGATGCATCCATTTCATTGTTGCTTCGAGGAGCAACTATTACCTTGGCCTGCTCTTCCAGTGTGAAGTTAACCCACTTGAAGTCAGGGTCAATGTATTTCTTGTACATCTCCAAAATCTCATTATGGCTCACAACACCAGGGTTTGTGAAGTTCCATATCCCCCTGCAGTTCCGTTTTGCCATCTCAATAGAAATTGGTAAAAGCTCATCCAATATGGTCATGCTGTTTGGAATGTTAACCACCTTGTTATAGCGAGAAATCTTTGTGATGAAGTTGCGTGGATTGGTAAGGTCAGAAGATATTGGCATTCGGACTCTGAGGGTGCAAACATTTTCATATTCTTTCAATAGCTCTTCAACCTGAACATTCATCAAGGAAAATATAAGTATGCATTAACATGTATAAATTTCAAAAACGGAAGCAGAAATTCAAAAAGAGGCAATAGGCAAACTTACCATGCCCTTGGTCTTTGAATAAAATGAACCAGTGAAATTAGGTTTGTCTTCCTCTTTGAATCCAATGCCTGATCCTTCTGGGTGTGCAGCATCATACTCAAATATGCACCCAGTTGCAAAATTCATCATGAGGAGACCATGCTCCCTGCAGACATCTGCTAAGTTCAAAGTACCTGCAACATTGGTGCGAATTGTCTCTGCTTTGTGAGACTCGCACCAGTCAACATTGGGTCTCCCAGTTACACCAGCAGCATTGAAAACATGGGTTGGCCTAACATTCTGGACATCAGCAATTATCTGTGATCGTTCCTCCAGGCGCCCTCTACCATACTCAAAGGGTATCCCTTGTTTCTCACATATCTTTCCAAGAAGACCCCCAATCCACCCTGTCCTACCATAAATCAAGAACTTTAAAGGTGGTCTATTAATGGAGCTGTTGCTCCTTGAAACTGGAACCACCATACGGGTGGGATTAGGATTTCTTGATACATGAGAGGTTGAATTGCTATCTTCAGATCCATCAAAATGTCTTTCAGTTCCAGCCATCATAAGCATTCTAGGGTGAGGCAGCAAAGCCCCAGAGACATCACCCCACCAATCAGGATTGTTTATATACCATTCCATAGTCTTCTTTAAACCCTCCTGCCATGTTGTCCGTTCTGACCAGCCCAAGTTCTTCAGCTTCTGATCATCCAAGAAATACCTCTGGTCATTAAATGGTCTGTTATCGACAAATTTAATAACTGAGTCGGGATCCAATGAGAAAAGCTTGCATATATCCTTAGCCACATCAATAACTCTTCTTTCTTTCTTTGTCCCAATGTTGTAAACATGACCAACTTCTCCCCTGTGGAGAACGACTTCAAAAGCCTCGGCAACATCCTCGCAATAGAGATAACTCCTCACATTAGATCCATCACCATGAATTGGAAGTGGCTTACCTCTCATGGCCAAGAGGATGAACTTTGGAATTAGCTTTTCAGGAAACTGATTGGGCCCGTAAACATTGTTTCCTCTGGTAGTAATCACAGGCAAGCCATATGATCTCCCATATGCCATTACAAGCATTTCAGCCCCAGCTTTTGTTGCAGAGTAGGGATTTGTTGGGAGGAGTTGAGAAGCCTCGTGGTTTCCAACAAGAGCATCCTCATCTGTTTCCCCATAGACCTCATCAGTGCTTACATGGATGAATCTCCTAATCTGGCCTGTCACTTTGCAGGCTTCTAGGAGAACATGGGTACCATAGATGTTGTTCTTGGTGAACTCAAAGCTATTACCAAAGGAGTTATCAACATGGGTTTGAGCAGCAAAGTGCATTATAGTATCAATGGACTCAGTAATCAGAAGGAAGTTGACAAGGTCAGCACTGGCAATGTCTCCCTTGACAAACTTGAAGTTGGGGGATGACCTAGAGGGAAGGAGGTTTTTCAGATTTGAGCAGTAATCAAGCTTATCAAGTACGACAATCTTGTAATCAGGGTAATTCCTGATCAGCCGGTTGCAAACATGGGATGCAATGAAGCCAGCTGCACCAGTAATAAGGATGTTCTTGGGTGTATAGGTGGCCATATCCAAGCAACTCCTGCAGATATTAGCATTTAGAACTAGATTTAGAACCCAAGTTGAGAAGAGAATGTACCTCCAACAACCTTGGAGAAACAACAAAAATTATATACAACAAAAGAACAAAAAAGGACATCATGTACAACAATCTAACAAAGGAAAATGAAGAACAGTAGAGATGAAAGATCCAAATCTGGAGCACAGGTCTAAAGGGGAAAAAATCAAAAACTTAAAAAGAAACTAATAAATCAAGCAGAAAGCTGATCCTACTAGATGCAAGGAAAATAGATTTTGAAAATGTAATTTTTTTTCAGAAGAAAACCACTAGAATCCAATTTCATATACTGCTAGAAAATAACAACATCTTAAATATGAAGAGAACAAAAAGGTTGGAAACAAATACATATCAAATAAGCAAGCCGAATTAAGAAAGAATGCCCACGCAAAACTAAAACGACAGTCACTAGAAGAGAAAAATCAAAATCTGCAATCGATTCCTCTCAAATTCGAAGGTGAAACACCAGATCTGTACTAACGAAACCAAATTATAACCAGATCTTAACCACGGTAAGCCTATAATTAAATCAAACTGAAAACGAAAACAAGTAAGGGATCGCAGAACAAAACTGACAAGTTCTATTACGAAAAAAAAAAAAAAAGAACTGATAGCAGAGTAGTAAACACGGATTGCAGACTTCTGTACCGAAATTAATGGAGGCATTAGAATTTATCCAAAGCAAAAAGCAGTTAAGCACATAAAACTTTCAGTTTCATTAACAGATCTAATTCAAAATCCGAAACCATCATCAAATGCAATTGGAATCAAATGAAAAAAAAAAACCTCAGATTTTCTAATCTGTTAACCACACAAGTATGATTCGAAAAGCAAACAAGAAAAGAGACAGTTGCAGATTGACTTACGACGTCCGTTCCTGAGATTTCAGGCCGAGATCGAGAGGGATCGGGCGCGATATAAGCTGGAGAAGATAGAGGGGAGATTTATCGGGGTGTTTCGGACAAATAGAGGAAGAAATGGGAGAGATTTGCGAGTCGAGAAGGTAGTTATGGTTGCTCTTATATACTCACCCTCTTTTTTTGTAAATCCTTTATTTTCTTTTCCTTTCTTTTCTTTTTCTTTCTCATTTTCCTATTTTTTAAACAATTTGGGAGCGATCATCGGTGGTAGACGGACAAGGGCCCATGGTTTCTTGACACGGGAAGTGGAAACCATTAGAAATTTCACAGACGTATCTGTTCTGAGGCTTAAGACGGTTATAGTTCTTTTAGAAGCTTAAGGACATGTTTGGTCACAAAAGAATAATTAGTTGTGGAGAGTGATTATACCGCTGACGTGGAATCTTCTTATTGGGAGCTATTTATGGCTCTGCAAACAATGTAAAGTAGTTTAAAATCGTGAATGAGATGGATTTTCTTTCATCTTAAATGAGGATGGAATGGAGATACGGAAAATATTTTTGCCCCAAATCAAGGACAAATGGGAATCAGATTTATATATAATTCCTTGAACCCAATGCTAAATTATTAAAGTATTTTTATGTTAGTTTAATATTAATTTAAAAATATCCTTGAACTTTTTCTAATTCCCAAGAACCCTACATCCCATAACCACATTTCTAAAATACCTTCAAATTCCTAAAATCTTATTTTTAAAATACCCTTGAAATTTGATGTACTTTTAAGCAGTTGCCTCGAAGCAATAATCCCCATACAGTGAAGATTTGGCTACACAGTGAGGACGGGGTGGAGACCAAATTCGCATATTCTGAACCCGCTCTGAACCCGATGCTAAATTATTAAATTATTCTTAAGTTTAATATTAAATTTAAAATATCCTTGAATTTTTCTCAAATTCCAAAAACCCTAGGATCCCATAATCATGTTTTTAAAATACCTCCAAATTCCTAAAATCCTATTTTTAAAATGTTCTTAAAATTTGATGTACTTTTAGTCAATTATCTCAAAGCAAGAAAATTTAGGGATTCCCCATCCCCAATAAGAAACAAGGGTAGAGGATTTTAGTTATATAGTGAAAAAGGGAAAGGGCACCCTACTCTAAACCCGCCTTGTTGCCATGCCTACCTGTGGTAAGGGTTATAGATAGCCTACGTCCAGGTCTATAAATATTCATGTATTTTTTATATTTAATTAATGTAATGTGATTAACATTTTTTTATATTTGTGATATCTGCTGGCTTCGTTAACAATTAAGGTGGTATTTAGTACCATTGTCATTTCTTCATTAAATATTTGAGGTTTGATTGTACAAATCAGTGAGAAATATGAATTGTTACGTCACAAAAGATAGTCAGATCAACTAAAATACACGTGGGGGATTAAACATTGCCCTTTAGAGTTGAAACATCAAATTTGGCATAAGTTAAAAACAGTATTTTGAAATGATCAAAAAAATGTCTTGTATTGGGCAAGCTCAAATATCTCATATAAAAATGACAATGGCATCAAATACAACCAACTATGCTGCTTGGTGATGGTATTTATGGCTGGTTAGTTGTCACTTTTATCCTTACTTTTATTTTTTGCTGATTTATGACATATTGATTTCCATTCTGAGCATTGATTGAATGAAAATTGCCTTTCAGGGCTTAAAAAATGGTAAATGTAACAGATAAGGTGGCTTAGATTCAATGACTCTTTCATTATGTTTGGAGAGGCTGCAATTCCACATGTTTGATCCTGCACCTCAATGCGATTGATCATCTTAATTATTTGGACAAGGTTTAAAATATCAATTAGGGGTGCTCATAGTTCGGTTAACTGAATCAATTATAGGCCTATTTTCCAAATTGAATTAATACAACCTGATGTAGGGTGATTTGACCAACCTCATAGCACAGGGATACGTGGATATGACCTGGCATAGGCGATAACTCAGCGTG